GTCAAGCATTATGTTCAGATAATTTTTTTGCCTGCTATGTTTATTAATTATGAACAAAATATAAGCAAACAAATAATTAGGTAGTGTTGTTCAGTTTGGCAGAATGTGATCGCACCTCCAAACATTAATTTAATCTACAGTTCAGAGATTCATATGTATGTTCTGGGAAAACCAATGGCACACAAGCCTGTGTATATCTTCCAACTAGTTTTTAATTAATTAGATCATTTCATGTCAAATCTGTGTCACTGCTAGACAATTACATAAGGGATAACGTAGAGCAAGCCACTCATTACTGCAAATTAAACCCAGACACTTGATCAGGACACAGTGGATTCTTATGGGTTTATTTCGAAATAATGACTAACTGACTGTACAGTATGCTGCTTTAATCTTGAACATTAGTAGTGCCAAAATGATAAGCACATGTAGCCTATATTTGCACTAAACCCATAATGTTCATATACTGTAAATTGCCCAGCAGTTTTGAACTCCACAGTATAACATAATCTCAAATAAGAGCAATGGTTTGAGTGCCAGCAGTGTATCATTAGTGTATTGGGCCTCACTGGATCAAGAAGTTATAGTCCGTCCACGCTACCTATCATTGGATGTTCAAAGAACTCTTCAGTTGACCTCTCTTGCCTTTAAAATGAACCTGTGAGAAATTAAATATGGAGCCATGCTCTTGCCTCAATGGTGCCACACTACTGCAGAAAGGAAGTGCCACCTAGTGGCCACTAGAGTAAGAACCTTGCCACTCACTACACAAGAAGGAGGACTAAAATATAAAAACACAAATCCATGTTAAAGCCAATTATCAGGTGCATTATAGAAGCCTTATTTAACATGCATGCAGAAAATGAATAAATATTATGAATAAAATAATAATATAATATAATATAATATAACTAGAACACCTTTGCAACCACTTATATTAACCACCCAAAACAACCTAGTTTTGGTCGTAAAAAAAAAAAAAAAACTAATAAAATCATATAATATAATACAATACAATGAAATATAAAAGAATAGCTGTAATTTAACTATTTAAACTTATGAGTTTCAAATTTCTTCCCCAACACCAGACTGAGCAACCCTTCAAATTCCTGTTCCTGCATCACAAAAACACAATTATGCAGAAAATCTACATTCTGCTTGAAACAAGTGCCACCCATAACAGAAATGCTGTCAGGCACTCTTCCTTCTTAGGATTGATATTTCAAACCGGAGCCCTCTGTGATCTCATCACCGGACAGATCTCAACAAGGCATTTCAGAGCACTTGCAAATATTTGCAGACAGCCGTGTCGCTGATTGCCGTGGCACAGCAAACAGCCATTTCATTCCTGCTGCTCTGTGCCAGCCTCAGTCCTTCAGATTAATGAGGACGTGCCCACGGGGAGCGATGACCAAGCATTTCATTACAGGCTAACAACAAAAGCAAATTCAGCACAGTCTCTCAGAACTGTGATCCCATCAGACAGCAGTAAATACTGCCGCATCGTGGAGGGAATTAAGATTTTTTTGCAGCGCTCCACGCATGATATTAAGTTCTCAAGAGGCCACTGACAAGCTTGGTGAGCGAAACATTTCTTTGCAAACCTCTACCACCCAAAAAGTAATTAAAAATTGATCAGGGTCTCTTGAGATTAATATATATATATATATA